GCCGCACATTTTCTCCTTTTGCACGCACACAGTTTTACTGGTTCTAGATTTGAAGCTTTCGTGACTGCAAGGATTCATATTCTTAGGTTTTTTCGGTAAAGTCACGTAGGTAAAACATCAAAATTAATGAAAATAAAATAAATCTTTATTTTATTTTCATTAATTTTGATGTTTTACCTACGTGACTTTACCGAAAAAACCTAAGAATACAGTTTTACTGGTATCCATTGTGACGTTTCGTCGAGGTCTCTGATATATGGGCTTGCCATTTTAAATTCAAGAACGTTTTCAGACAACACCACAGAAATGAGATTTATGCCTTCTTGAAACTTTTGCGTTTTCCAGTATTCATTTTTCGTCCTAGATCACTCTTAGCGGTAAATGGTTGGATGTCGTGTGCCATGCAAGTGGCCAATTTTGAATTTAGTTTTTATATATAAACTGTGCCAGCTTGGAGACCCAAGTTCAATCATGAATAACACAACACATTTCAACGGTGGCATTACATTATAGCTGGGCTATCTGAGATATTTAATTGATTATGCTAGCGATGACCAATTCCATTACTCGACCCATCAGATAACACAAATATAATGTAGTTGGGGGGAAAAAAAGTCTCACATCTGTCCCCACGTGTGCTGCTGTGCAGGTGGTAATGGGCGGGGCTTGGTGATGTAATCGGCATTATCAGCTGCATCACACTGGGAGGGGCTTGCAGGGGGTTTCCAGCCTTCGGCAGACAGCATGTGGAAACGGCCACTATTTGTAGAGGGGCTGGAGTTATCGACCACACAAAAGTAGTTGATTAATTGGCTTAATAAAATAATCATCTCAGCTCAACATTTTATAAATCAAAACCCTCTGATTCACACAATGTGCATGTAAGCAGCAGTAGAGTATTTATTTATTTTCAGAAAGTGTAGAATTCTTTAGAAGAAACATTCAAAAGACTACAAAGTGCTTTCGACAATGCGTGTAAAAACTATTAGCACTGCCGATTATAATTGGCAATTCATTATTTGAACCTAGAGTAATTGTCAAGTGAAATAAAGCATACCTATGGTACTCATTTAATGCTATTAGAGTTAAGTGCTCCAATTACCTTTTAGTTAGTTGCAAAGGTACAACACGTAAAGCTGTATTTCCATGACACTTTTCATAACTTCTTAGCTTCATGACCAGATTAACAATGCAGTATTGTTGTAAAGTATAAGATAAACGTGCAGCCGTGAAATTATTGTTCATACCATTGCTGGAAAAAGGGCATCCAATAGAGATGGCTATACAGAGCCCTTCTCGGGTGTATTTTGGCAGACTCTTCCATCCTGGCCAGACGTCTTGAAAGAGGTTGGAGTACCCATTATCTTCCTTACCACACGACCGGCTGATCGACTCACTATGGTGGACCCAATTGCTGCCGAGTGGACAGCCAGGGGGAGATGGGAGAATTTGTAAGTCGAATGTTTGTAAGGAGAGGAGTCCCTGCACATTTGAATATGGGAGAGTGGTGGTAACAGTAGTTGCGCCATGAACCCGTCAACCTGAATTGAATTATTGGAAGCAGCTAACATCAGTGGCAAGTGATATCTGAACCAGTCATCAGCAGCTCCTTCACCAACCTCTGCTGACCAGTGTGGTGCAGTTGATTGGACAAACACATGTAAACTGGCATGGTGCGAGACGGACTTCAATGGACTGACAAAGGAGGTGTAAACACATTATTCTTGTATTTTAGCACTTTTGAGGCAAGGGTTCATGAACCACAAATTTGGGTCAAAAACCCACCGGGCCACGGGACAGATAGCCGATGGCAAATAAATGAGCCCATTGAGGCAGGCGGTTGTTATATCCTAGAATGTGTGAGTGTTCCCTGGTTAAACAAGCTTCCTCCGACACGCTAAAACATTCCATAAGTAGCGTGCCGCGGTGGAAAGATGTTAACCTGGTATGCAGGTCGTGGGGTTTGATCCTGACCCTGACGCCTATATATTTGCAGTTTGCATGTTCTCCCTGTGGTCGAATGGATTTTTTTCCGGGTCCTCCGGTTTTCCCCTCCACATTTAGAATCAACATCACGCGCTTAGAGTATTTTCCTGATATACATTTCCACATGATACACCACTTTGTTGAGCAATCATTTGTGGCCAGGTCACTTATGAAAAGGAACTACAGTAGAACCTCAGAGATCGAACGCCCCAGAACTCGAACAATTCGGTGATCGAACTAAATTTTCTACCATTTTTTGCCCCGGACATCGAACAAAAATTCGGAGATCGAGCAACTGCAACGAACCTGTTTGGGCCGAGACGCGTAGCCAGGGCGACCGAGACAAAGGCGAATGACCCAGTTTACTCGTAGCTCTCGCCCAGTGCATCCAGATAAGGCATTAGCTAGCAGAGCAGGCGATTTTTATGATAATGCATTGAGTCGTTTCAGAAACATCTTAAAACGGAGGCAGAAACAATCCTCTCTTGATCAGTTTTTTTTAAAAAGGCTCTCAAGTGAATCACAGTTAGTGCTAGAAAAAAGGCAAAGAAAAGAACCCCAGAAGGGCAGTTACCCGTTTTATGGAGGGGGACTCCCCTTCCAAGCAACACTGACACCTCCTCACCACCTTCCACTCAAGACATCCACTCTCCTTACTACAGGTAAAGTGAAGTTCAATGTTAATTTATTCTATTAATTATAACTGTGTTTCTTGTTTTTTGTATGCTTTTTTGTACTGTACTGTATTTTTATATTGTAAACTTTGTGAAAAATAGCCCATAATAGGAGCATCCTTGGGTGGGGAACCAATTAATGTTATTTCCATTCATTCTTATGGGGAAAATTGATTCAGTGTTCGAACAATTCGGTGTTCGAACACGGTTTTGGAACGAATTAAGTTCTGTATATAGGACAGTAGACCTTATCTGATCAAATAAAAAAATAGTTTAATTGTAGTTTCGAAGTTAACCAAACTTCCCAATTCATGACACTTCTGAAAATGTGTCATATATATGTCTACAGCTCTGACCTCAACCTAAATACAAGATGCAGTTTGTGAGCTACAAGAAATTTTGCCAACAACAATGATTCAAAAATCTGCATCCCTACGCCATGTCGGTTCTGGGGCTTCTTTGAACCATACTTATTTTTCGTTGTCATAGCGCACTATGGATCGGAAGTATATGTACACAAAACTTTATTCAGTGCGTCCAACATATGAATACAATAATGCGTTTGTCCATTAGATTTACTGTACTGCCTTCCAATATCAAAATAATCCAGCAGCATGTTTAAACAAGCCGGACTATGCTGATGAGAGCCGGGTCGAAACCGGTCCAGAGTTTGTGTTCTTACACAAATGTTGCTGGATAACATTGGTCTAGAAAGCCAATAGGCCGATGGAATAACCATCTATTATATAAACACAGTACTCTATGGACAGACATAACGGGGGTTATTGCTTGTGATGTTTTCCCCACGCTCAGCAGAGGAATCAACTTGAGTAACACATTGTCCTGCGGAGGGAGCTGGTAGGAACGTTGAGTTGCTCGGTCAATGGCCAGGGTCAACGGCGGCGTGGTGTATTCTGCAAATATGGCCGACTGTGAGGGCGGGCACAAGCCGGCGTGAGTAGGTTAAACGTTGAGTTTTATAAGGGCACCACGGGGTGACCAGCCCCTCCCCACGCAGCCCCACCCACCCAGCCCCTCCCCACCCTCCACTCCCCACGCAGCCCCTCCCTGCACGACGGGCACAACAATCCCCTGTGGGCTGGTGTAACCAGGAGGTTCCTACCAGTATCATGTGTTGTTGCTCGACAGCCATGCAATGTGAAGTTGCTACTCGCCGTACATACACCCGGTATACGAGCATCTGCAAACGTTAACCCTCTGAGGAATCTCACAATTCCAGTTCCAGATAGCTGTAAGTGCTTCATTGCCTGGCGACAATTTTTTGTTTACAAGCATGAAAGGCACAGTATGCATCTACATATGTCCGCCTTTTGAATAATGTAAATGCAGCAGTATACGCCAATGCACGACACGTACAGTCTCTGCATTCATGTGGGGTTGTGTTTTCATCAGAACCCAATTCCCATCGTGTAACTGGAGCCGGCTACCAAGAGTTCGATTCCGGGCCAGGGCCAACATCAGTGGCAAGTGATATTTGCAGCCCCCCCCCCCCCTCAATCCGCATTTAACCAGCGTGGTGAAGTATGGTCAACCATCTCCCCAAGACCGATACAGCGTGATGAGCGAAGATGCCACCCAGTGGTGGATTGACGAAGTGACGTGACAACGCTGCAAGGAGTGCACGTTGTGAACAGCGGCGACGCTTAATTGGCATCGCATGTCTCTGGTGCCATTGCACAATATCCCAGCCAGCGCCAGCTCTCTGCTGCCCCAGGCGTCCGCAGTCGCGGGTTAAGGGGGCAGTGGGGGGGGCAGTGGGGGGGGGGGGCAGTGGGGGGGCAGTGGGGGGCAGTGGGGGGGCAGTGGGGGGGGGGCAGTGGGGGGGGGGATCACGACGTCGGCGTGCACGGACCAGGCACCGCTGCATCCTCCGGATTAGAAGACGCTCCGCGAAGTTGACTCGTGCCGGGTGTCAATAATTTAAAAAATCTGCTCAAGCACACACATACAGAACACCTACCGAGGATGTGTACATACAGTACCACCAACTTTTATTGTAAGTGCGTCCTATAATCCAAATACAATCGTGTACGTCCCCTTTGTCCATCCACTACTGGCTGACACCTCCCACGTCGCATAGACGCCACAGAGTTCGTCTCACTGAACAGCGCAGTCGTTGATGTGTCAGCCGCGGCAAAGAATCGAACTCGGTTCAGCCGGGTTTACGGAGCAATGTGCCAAGATCACTGCTTCCATTGCGCCAACGCTCCACCGCTGGCAAGGATATTTTCAGTAGCAGCAGTTGGGGTTTGCAATGTAAAGGATGTCAACTTGATTCATGGAAGCCTGCTCTGTGTTAGAAATAAATCCATCAAATACCTTTTGGCAGGGAAGTCGCGGAAGAACAGACGCTGCGAAGACGAGACTCGGAGTAGACCCAGTCCAGCGGCTCTTCGATCTTGCTCGCGTTGCTTATCTCACAAATGTCCGGCAGTTAGAGATCTTCGTGGTTATTTAGGAATTGTTTCATACGTTGAAGCACGTGCAGGGTTCCAGCGCAAGACAGAGACATGTATAGAGTATATTTGACTCGCAATTCGTTGTGAATTATATTGAGCAACATTAAACGCAAGCCGCTTTGGTAACAGCCGAAATTGCGATGCCACGCGCTGTAGAGCCTGCGAAACCATTTATCTCTCATTCCCCAATCGCTCTCGCACAGAGAGCACAACAAGGAACACACACACACGCCCCACCCAATTCATCCTCACCCCCACCCATACACAAACACTCTCCCAGCCAGTTCACCCACCCCCAATACACCACCACCCTAACCCCCACACATACACACTCACACCCAACCAGCTCCCCCTAACACACCCCCCCTCAATACACCACCACCCGAACCTCCACACATACACACCCACACCCAACCAGCTCACCCTAACACACACCCCCCCCAATACACCACCACCCTAACCCCCACACATACACACTCACACCCAACCAGCTCACCCTAACACACCCCCCCTCAATACACCACCACCCTAACCCCCACACATACACACTCACACCCAACCAGCTCCCCCTAACACACCCCCCCTCAATACACCACCACCCGAACCTCCACACATACACACCCACACCCAACCAGCTCACCCTAACACACACCCCCCCCAATACACCACCACCCTAACCCCCACACATACACACCCACTCCCAGCCAGCTCACCCTAACACACACCCCCCTCAATACACCACCACCCGAACCCCCACACATACACACTCACACCCAACCAGCTCACCCAAACACACCCCCCCTCAATACACCACCACCCGAACCCCCACACATACACACCCACTCCCAGCCAGCTCACCCTAACACACACCCCCCTCAATACACCACCACCACTCTAACCCCCACACGCATACTGGGACCCAGTTCACCCCCACACAGACGCCCAATACATCATCACCCTAAAAAAGACAAAGATCCCCCGTATAGCCTGAACAGAACGTTGGGGCAAGTGCTGTTAGTGAGCGCCTATGAAGGCCAACACGGCACAGCACTACGCCTGGCCGCTTTTGTCTCCCGAGTGGTGATGTGTACACGCCGCACCAGGTACTCATTTGAGACTGGGTCGACCTAGGGGAGGCCCAGGACCGGGACCGGTTCAAATAATCGACACTCATGTTGGTGGCAATGAGCGGGAATCAAATTCATCTGGTCGGGGTCATCGCGTAGCGGCGCTAACCGCTACACTACCGCTCCCCACATTATCACAACATACACACCCAACCATGTCATCTAAACTCTCATTCACACGCCACCAAATTTACCATCGCCCAAATCACCGACACCACTCCACAAACATAACAGTGGCACCTGACTTACCACCACCCTATCTAACCACAAATATTTTAAGTTTTTGTTACTTTACCAGGTAAGGCCCACTGAGCTATATATCTCTTTTTCAGAAGCGACCTGGCCACAAATAATAGCTCAACGAAGTGGCTTGTCGTGTGGAAATGTATAGCGGCCCAATACTAATGACGCATGTTTCTATACGTGGAGGGAAAAACCGGAGGACCTGGAGAAAAATCCAAGCGACCACGGGCAGAGCATGAAAACTCTAAATATACAGCAGGCATCAGGGTCTGAATCGAACTCACGACCTCCTCCACACAAGGCGAGGGAGTTAACATCTCGCCACCGCGCCGCCCCAATACATCCACTCTCACCGCATTCACAATCATTCTCACCCCAATCTTCCTCTACTCCATACCATGCATCCAAACGCACTCTCACATGACAGCAAACTTTCAGTGTACACGCACACAGTGCTTCGTATCAGCTGGAACAGTTTGAAAAGCTGTCCTGGGAATTATTTTGGCATGCCACATCCATCGAGCCTCATTTGGTCCTCATGATACTTATTTTGTCAAGACAGGATTACAGGAATATAGGATACAATATAATAGAGTCGTTATGTATAGGCGTACTTTATACTCTAGTAGTAGTGCCTTACACCGATAATCCCTACTCCAAGTGTCTGCCTCACATCGTTCCGGAAAATATCGAGCGAGAACGCAAGCCCTGCACACAACCCCCCACCAAATGTAACACAACCCATGCATTACAGCGGTCATCATAAACCACTGCCCAAACATACGTCTAACACATGGGTCGGCAACCTTTCAAATAAGAAGAGTCTATTTTTTGTCTTTGCCCTTTTTTTACGTTCAATGACATTCAATCTATTTTTTTTAAACCGGCTGCCCACGAGGGGCAGCCAAAGAGCCGCTGCACGCGGGTGCCGCAGGTTACAGACCCCTACCTGGTCTGACCCAATTCACTCCTTGAACCTCACCTCCGCGGCTCTACCCACAGAATCTAAATCTATGCTAAGACTGTGCATGCTCGTGTTGTTAATGAACACCCATTAATCTCACCAGTACCGACATATACGTGCATGCCCCACGCAGCCTTCGAGAGAACACTAAGAGTTATTGCGACAATCGGAGCTTAATCCGTACCCCTGTACACAGGCAAGCATTGCAGCCGTTATCCCAAGTCACCCACACGCGTACTTTTACTTCAATTCCCAGGCTTTCCCACGTATAGTATGTGTTTATGTACACATGCGTTTAAGACTTACCAAATACAAAGATCCCCCATATAGCCTTTAACAGACTGTTGGGGCAAGTGCTGTTAGCGAGCACCACCGCCCTCCTCTCAAACGCCAACTCTGCCAATAGCATCGAAGTCAGCCCCCTCTATATGACCGTCGCATTATGTAACACTGCCGTCCATTTGAAAATGCAACGCAGACATAATTATATATCGTAATGCCACATCTGTTATTGGTCGTGCTGCCTGTCAGACAGTGGGAAGCAAGATCTTGCTTTGTGGCGTCCAGGTTGGCAAGGCTACACTCACATGCTTGCTATTTAAGGTGATGTGTCGTGATAATGAACAGGTGTGTTCCGTTTATATCCCATCGCTTACAGGCACGGATTTATTTCTCACTCCGAACACTGCTCGACTGGGCTTAGAGTAAGGGATTACGAGTGCACGGCACTACCACTAAAGTACAAAGAACACCTATCCATAGCACATCCTGTATAATACAACCTATATTCCTATAATCCTATGAAGAGGGTTTCTAATAATGAGATATATGGATGAACAAAAACAGGTGAGATGAATTCATTCCCAGTACAGCGTTCTGGACTGTTCCGACTTTAACGAAGCACTGCGTACAGGTGTACGGTACATTTGCTTTAACATGATCATCGCTCGTCTCCATGGTTGCTACTTGTCCCGGTTGCCAGGATCATCTTGTCCTGGGAAAACTGTAAGTCCTCTCATGGCATTAAGTCTTGTTTTTTGTCAATTGCATGATAATACACCACCCAGCCTCACACATTCACATGCAGTTATCCCTTATTCCAGTATTGTGAGATATTCCTCTTCATGATACGTGTTGTTGTTTTTTGTTGTACCCACGACGCGTTAACCTTATTTGTCTCTGGAAGTTCTCACGTGTGTAGATGTTCATCCACGTGCCTCAATATCACTGGATTTCCAAGGAGTAGGAGGAATAACTCAAATAATGTTTAACCCAAATGTTTTCGTATTAAAGTTGAGTAACTGACCATGTTCCGAATCTGAATTGTTCGTCTTTAAAGTCCACTGCTGACCCTGTGATTTGTGTATTGTTTTACAGTTTACGCTTGATTATTAAAAGCTGTGATTTGATGGAATCTGTAACGTGTGGCTGATATGGAATTAAAACCCATTCACTGCATACAAAATACATTTACATATTTTTTCATCAAAAATAAAGGCATTCGTATATTTTTGTTATGGAACGACCAATGCATTTGGAATTGTACTATCGATTTTCCAGACTTTGATTAAAATAAACGGCACTCATTTACATTTTTAAAACATGTAACTTTAAACCCAGTATATGTGACATGCGTACTGCTGTTGTACATACAAACATAACTCTTTCTCGCTCTCTCATGTGTGTTTGGGTTGTGCCACATGTTGTTTGGTATGATGTCCAACATTTCTCCCCACATGCTGAGAGCTATACAGCACATCTGTGCGAACCTACGCAGCAGTAGAGCTATTTAAAACTTAAACCTGGCCTCTGTTGCATTCGTTCTAGAGTTTGTTAAGCTGACATTTTTATTCTGTGGCCAATTTAGGCTTCAGTGGGATTTCACCTGGTTATGTTCAGATGTGTTTTGACAATTCGAAACGGTATTTCAGCAGTCATTGTATTGTTTCATTCATCTGTGTAATGGTGTGTATGTGTAACGTCCTATGCAGCAGTAATTTACATTTGTATAAGGGATGTGTTGTGTTACTTTATATCGGAGTGTCCAGGAATACGTTGTAAAAACACATTGTTGCAAGGTAGTGCCATTTCTTTGTTGATTCACTTTTGGTTTTGCTTGGTCGTAAGGTTTTCATCTGCTTAGTAGTGGCTGTGTATGGGATTTGGTCCTAATATATAATTAATGCACAGCGTTATGGCATGCTATTAACATGAATGAGGTTATAGAAAATGAAAGTATTAGAGTAAAAACGCATATTCCACTGCTGGATGAAGGCCTCCCCACACCGCGCTCATCGTGGGGGTTATTTGATGACACTTTACCATGCTGGTCAGTGGGACCTAGCACTGGCTCGGATCTTACTCGCCACTGATGTTAGCTGTGGCGTAGTGTAACGCTAATGCTTTTCTTTGTTTCACAGTTTGTTTCTGTGGTCTTTGTTCTGAGAGCTGCAGGCCACTTCCAGTGGTGCCCACTGGATTTAATGGGGAGCACATGTGACATTTTGGGCTGAAAATCGCACACCCCAAGTGCAATGCTTACTTGAGAAAACATTCGTAAACTAGGCGGACGTTGATTCGCTTCTGGAAAACATCTCGTAAGGGGATTCATAACCAGAAGTGGTCGAGTACGAATTTGGCGTTTCTGCCCCCACAGAATAACCCGGATTACTTTTGCACATGCGTCACATGGGAAAGGTTTTAAAAATAACAGGTCATTAAGTGGCCCCACAGGCAGAATAATTGTGTGCTTGAGTCACACCAGTAGATCACACTCATCAACTTACCTGACCCTACTCATTATAACCTGCCACTGCACTATAGCAGCTGTTATACTATGGGTAGCCTTGCCCATCATAAGAATGTAGAATTAATTTATTTTTCAATGTTTTAGGGCTACCAACGAAAATGAGAACTGCGCAAGCGTGAGCATGTAAACATTTACAAGTTTTGACTTTACTGCACATGACTCCCGGGCTTCATTTGCTTTCGACTCCAACATCATCTCTTGATTCCCGCAATCTGCCTCTCCACAACAACACAAAAACATAAAAAAAATCCTAAAGCTGTGCATGTCTCCGCCCCTATTTGTAGAGTGTCTGGAAATGCAGTTGCATTTAGAAGCATTACAAATCTAAATGGATAATTGAAACAAAAAAATATCTTGATTTGTGGTTTTATAAGAGAGTACTGAAAATTATTCCCTGGAAAGACAACGTTAATATCGAAAGTTTTTTTTTAAGAATGGCTAATGAAATAATCGGCATTCAATAACTATAGCACAGAGAAGAATTGCGTCTGCAGGATAAGTCCTGAGAGACTCAGGTGGGGAAATTATCCTTTATATAGGGTGATCCATTTACATATAGACCACTAAAGTAATATGGAGAAAATATAGAGAAACATTTAATCCAAATACCTCTGCACATCTGCCAACATTCTCAATACACTTATTAAATCTGTTAAGTCTCCTCTGTAAGATATACAACCATCACTTGCACAATATTCAATCAACTGTGGAGAGACAGTAAGAGGGTCATTATAAAATCAGTGGGGCCATCTATAAATGCATCACCCTGTATAATGGACAGGAGAACATGTGGAGCAATGCAAGAGGTCGGCCCGGACAAATTTGTAGATGACGTCAAATAAAGATATTACAAGAATCACAAAACATTGGGATGTTTAGGAGGTGATTGCCAACCTTCAGATTGAAGACAGTACCTGATGATGATGCTTCCAAATTGTTATCATTTTGACTTTGTAAATTAATACACGTAATTAACAGAGCTCGTGGTAGTGAGCTTTGAGTTTAATTTGAATATACAACAGTGTCCTAAGCATTCTATGTACATATGTTTTTATGTCAGTGTGCAACTAATACTGGGTGGAGCAGTGGCATTGTGGTCAGTGCACTGCCTATTGAACCCATCGTCCTGACTTTGTTTCCTAGCCACAGCTATAACATCAATGGTGAGCAATATCTGAATTGGTCCTGGGCTCCCATTCAGCAACTTGAAGGGAACCAGTTTGGTGAAATATGGTCAGACAACCCCACCGCCCCCCACCCCACCCCCATGGCTGACAGAGTGGGGAGGCCTTCATCCAACAGTGGATTTGACAAAAAGATGCACATTTTTCGTTTGAAACTCGCAATGATGTCTGCTGGACTTAAATGGGCCCAAAAGATTCAACGCGTTCATCATTAACACTGTGGCTTTAAGATGAAAACTATATCATGGGCACGTTTCGAGCTATGGCCCTCTCTTCAATAGCCCTGCAGTTTGTTCAAACCGCAACTTTTATCTGACCGTGTCCTCAGATGTTTTTCAAGCGTTACCAAAACAAGGCAGTACAGCTCAGCGAAGTCTTAGCAAAATAAATTAACGTGCCACTCAAACCCATAAAAGACAGGCGCCCCCGCCAACAACCGCAAACTGAGCTGTGTAGCTCTTTTTCAGAAGCGACCTGGCCACAAATGATAGCTCAAAGAAGCGGCTTACCACGTGGAAATGTATAGCAGCCAAATACTCTAAACGTATGTTTCTAAATGTGGAGGGAAAAACCGGAGGACCCGGAAAAAAATCCACGTGATCACGGGGAGATCATGCAAACTCCAAATATACAGACATCAGGGATCGAGCCCACGACCTCCTGTATACCAGGCGAGCGAGTTAACATCTCGCCACCGTGGCGCCTGTTCAGTTTCCTGGGAGACACTGTGCCCACGTCGCGTTCTGGGGGTTGCGCTCGCAGCAGCAGCTCGGTGCCTGGGGACATTGCCTGCCGTGCGGTGCGCGGTCAGAGCGCAAAGGCGTCAACAACACACGAGGGTTGCCACCTCTCAGGTGCAGAAAAACGGGAAATATCACATAACGATGAACATCTCGCTGCACGTGAACGCACTGTCTGGAATGGTGTGCGTTTTAATACTGACATCAAAGAAGAGTTTTAATGTCCCGGGCAGACTTACAGATTTGCCACAACAGCAGCCATCTCAACAAGAGGACAATCCTGGGGAAACCGCGGGGGGTGGCAGGCAACACGACAATGCACGCCAAGATGCAGTGAGCACTGCGTTTGGGCGATGCCACGGTAACAGAATAACTGCGCAAGAATAATGCAGGTTTACTCCTCTTCCTGTTGTTGTTGTCGGCCTGTAACTTCCCACACCTGGGTAAGTGCTTCTCCCATTTACTTCCCTTAGGCATAATATAAATGGCGGTAAGAGTAGACGTTTGTGTATCGTACCAATTGTGCTGTGTAATAACATTTATAGAGTTAAAACACAAAGGGTCACGTGGCCCTTGCGTGACATTGCGCGATCATGAGGTTTTGTACCCCGCTCTGTTTCCGTTCCCGTGTCATTGCCCATAACATTACGCAAAGGCGCTAACATGTACAGTCCCTTTTCT